ACTCATGGATCCGGAAGGGTACTAGTGGATGTCTCAGTTCTTTATTCAATATGTGCAAAAATCTATAGCATTTTTCTTCAGCAGTAGGGATCAAATGAGAAGCATACCTCGCAAATGTAGTAAACTCGACCTCGTACTGCATCACTGTCCTGCGTCCTTGTTCCAATCTCATAAAAGCTTCCTGCATTTTTCGTTGAGTTGACGGAGGTATAAACCACATCCGAAACACTGTAGTGAACTCATCCCAGGTGATCTCAGCATTTGTCTTTCCCTGGAATTTCTCTCTCTGTTGTCCAATCCACCATCTCCCTGCTTCTCCCTCAAACAGAAACACAACCAAAGATACCTTTCGATTTCCCGGACACTGTATGCCGTCAAAGATCTTTTCTACACTCATTATCCAATCTTCAGCAGCCTGGGGTCCCATAGCTCCTTTGAACAACGGAGGCTTCAACTTATGAATCATCTGCAAATGCTTATATGCTTCTTCTTCTTTACTTCCACTCATCTTACTCTGTGCATCCCCCATCACCTGTGCTATAGCAGTAGCCAATTGCATCATACTTTCTGAAGGTACTGGAGCTGCATTGTGTTTCTCATTTGGTACACTTGATTCCGGATTATCCATTTATCTTTTCACCTACACAATTCAGAATAAATGATACACACATGCAATTATGTATGCAAAATGATGCACTTACAGCTACCCATTCTGCCCAACTCTCAATCCAATCATATAACTCTGGTAACAATCCATTCTTCCAATAACACTGCTCTAATATCAATTGTGACGCCCCAAGATCTAACTTGAAAAGAATTTCGAGCCATCCATCAAGAATTTACCAGAGCTATCTATAACCTCAATCAAACAGTCTAGCAAAAATCTATAACATTTAAAACATCAATGTACAAGTCGATTCATATTTCAAAAGATCATATACAATACTCAGGAACTACACTATGACCACAAGAACTGAAATCTATCATGTCCTGAGTACAAAAGAATCGCTATAACCAAAAGAACAAAAAAACCTGGAGATTCCTGATCAACCTCAATCTCCTGCTCCCTTGCCCTGACCTGAAAAATATTAACCACATATAATGAGCTTCAAAAAGCCCAGCAGGTCACCCACTACCTATAACTGAAATCAAAACACGGTACTGGCCTCAATATGCATGTCAGTCAATGAAATCCATAACAGTCTATTTCACATGATCAATGAATTTATACAAATACAGAAATCAAATCAGTAGTCAATGCAGCGGTAGAAAAATCAATAAACAGTAGGAAGAACTCCATCAAGCTCACTCAATACACTTCAAATCTCAGAAGAATCCGTAAATAGTAGAAAATCAGTCGATCAGTCAAATCAATCGTATCAAATAGAATCAATCAAAACAATACTATCTGGTCAATTAAATCGATCGAAATCAATACAATAAAGCCTAGTCTATACTAGAAATGAATCAAATGCAGCAGTTCAATACAGTATAGAAGCAATAATATCAATGAATCAATTACAGTATCCATATCCATACAGTATCTAATAACAGTAGCAATGCACGGTGACAGAATTTAAATATCAATGAAATCGTACGATAACAATAAGTTCGTAAATCCGTTAGTAAATCCAAATTAATAAAGCAATAAATCCATCACAAGTCAATGCCGTACACATGCATTTTAATACAATAGTCTTACTGAACAAGTACAATCACTGGCTATTCGATAATCCATAGTGCTATTGTAGAAATTCATAGTGCTGTTGTAGAAATCCCTAGTGCTGTTGTAGAAATCCATCCGTTGGTTCCATAAGAGTTGTCACTCTGTGCCCGTCGACTGCCCGTCGGCATATTAAACATCTTATGACTCCCAATCGTTATATCAATGATCAATAGTTTAAAGGAAAGCCCGTCGGCCCACCATCCTGTACAGGTCAAGTATATCTCCAACCAACGGTTCAACCAAGTTCCACCTGTCTTTCAGTATCAATAATCAGATAGTCACAATCGTATGCATTCAAATCATCAATTTCAGAAAAATTGGAAATCGTACGAAAATCCAGCGGCATAACGACAGTATACGGAATTTACACAAAATTCCTAAAAATCACAATTTACCAAATTAATACAGAACGTGCACAACAACATTATAAGACTTATATTCTACTGAAGCAACATCAATCAACAATCTGATATTTATCTATTCGATCAAAATTGCACATAACCCAAAATAACCGGTAGAATCGTTACAGAAAATACTCAAAACGTGTAGAAAAATCATATCAATAACATATCAAAAGTTGTGCGGTGAAAGTTTTGTCAATACAAAATGCGGCGCGTTTATCGGTAATGAAAACACAATTCTTTGCACAAAATGACCAAAACTCAACATCTTCAAAAACAGAAATAGGATTCGGAGTCCTTACTGCGAGATAAACACTTCTCCCAACAGCGACGACGAACGAAAAGCGCTCTGCGGCCTCCGAAATCCGGCTTTTCCTTTGCTTTCCTTCTCCTTCTTTCTCCTCATATATTTTGTTTTTTAAAAAATATTTTCTCTCTCTTCAAAACAAGCTGATTTCCTTATAATACAAAGCTGATCGGCCCGGCCGATCGTCACATCGTCCAGGATGATATGAACAAAATTCAATAGTCCAGGACGATTTCTCAGGAAGATAATTAATTTTTCTCAGACGATAAAAACCCTTATT